TCTTTTGCCTTCTTCTCATCCTCTGCTGCTTTCAAGGCACGGGCTCTTTCCTCCTCTGCCTTCTTGTCTTCTGCTTCCTTCAAAGCCCGAATCTTCTCTTCTTCTGCTTTCTCTTTTGCCTTCTTCTCATCCTCTGCTGCTTTCAAGGCACGGACTCTTTCCTCCTCTGCCTTCTTGTCTTCTGCATCCTTCAAAGCCCGGAGCTTTTCTTCTTCTTCTTTTGCCTTCTTCTCATCCTCTGCTGCTTTCAAGGCACGGGCTCTTTCCTCCTCTGCCTTCTTGTCTTCTGCTTCCTTCAAAGCCCGAATCTTCTCTTCTTCTGCTTTCTCCTTTGCCTTCTTCTCATCCTCTGCTGCTTTCAAGGCACGGACTCTTTCCTCCTCTGCCTTCTTGTCTTCTGCTTCCTTCAAAGCCCGGATCTTTTCTTCTTCTTTTGTCTTCTTCTCATCCTCTGCTGCTTTCAAGGCACGGGCTCTTTCCTCCTCTGCCTTCTTGTCTTCTGCTTCCTTCAAAGCCCGAATCTTCTCTTCTTTTGCTTTCTCTTTTGCCTTCTTCTCATCCTCTGCTGCTTTCAAGGCACGGACTCTTTCCTCCTCTGCCTTCTTGTCTTCTGCTTCCTTCAAAGCCCGAATCTTCTCTTCTTCTGCGTTCTTCTCTTTTGCATTCTTCTCATCCTTCTGCTTCTTTTTTGCAGTCACCTCTTCTGCATGTCCTGCGCTTCGCTTCTTTTGCATGACTTCTGGTTCAACTTCAGGGTCTGAGCAGTCCGTTTCTTCCTCTTCTTCTTCTTCGATAAGTATGATCGTTTTCGTTGCACTCTTGGCTTCCTGTGTTTCTTTGTCTTCCACCCTTTCTTTCTTGCCTTCTTCTTTTCTTTCATGCTTTTCTGGGTCCTTTCCCACAAGCCGGTCCCAAAGAAAAGAAAGCGGAAGAGCGCCATGAAGAGAGCCCCCGAACCCGTTGAACGAACATTTTGCAACAAGTGGTGGTGGTAGTTAGATAGGGCCCTGGATGTCCTCCAGATCTTTCGAAGGTATTTCCACTGGCTTCCGAATCGACTTTGATCTCTTCTTGATGCCAGCGTCCTGACAGAAGCCAGTGAACAGATCCTTGCACTGATACTAGTTTGGTTTGGACCAGGAGAGGTTCATTTAGGTAGTGAACAGAAGCACAGGAAAGTTTCCTCATAGAGCGCAGTGAGAAGCCGCTTCAGCTTTGCTAAGTTTCCATCCTTCTTCCTGCGAGGTAGGATCCGAAGTGTTTGGGGGACCGATGCACACAACCCACAACAGACGTCGCCTTGCGTTCAAAGTGCGACCATGTGCAGCGCAAAGTTTCGATGCCAGCAACCTGTGCAGGTTGCCTTCCGTCGTGGCCCAGTCCTTTGTTCAGGCCGGCCAGGGGACAACTTGAGAACCAGGGTGTTTTGTCCATGACATGAGATTTGTTGTTCGGTGTTTTTTAATCTAGACAGGTAGCTCCCAAGTCGGGGATGATCTTATCATCCACAAGCCTGAAGGATTTGGCCGCCCAGCATAGGGCCTCCTGACTCATGGGCAAAAGGACCCGTCCTCTCTATAACACCTGCTAAGACTTCGGGTCGGGCCTTGACCTCACGCTCAGTTGGAGGGTCCAGCGCAAAGGTCGGCAGCCACTGCATCGCAAACATGGTGTTGTTTTCCGTCTCCATCTGGCGAGCAAAGGTCCCACCAAAAACCTTGAAACCTAAAGCGCAAATGAAAGCAACGGTTTATCCCAGGAGGGTAACAGGCCAGACAATCCATATCTTCAGTCAAGCCTTTTTTGGGGTGAAGGTCCAAGAACTTGAACTCGAATGGTGGGGCCTGCACAGACAAATCACAGTGGAGTGGTACCTGAATTCTGAATTGGACATTATTGGACGTGACGTTGAACTTAAAAAGATTAAAGAACACAAGAAAATTGGAGAACCTTCCCAGCACGGAGGGCTTTCTCGACTTTGTGTTCAGGGACCGAGTTCTCCTTGCACAGCTCCGCCACCCGTCTGTGCTTATGCTCTTGAAGGTAATCTGTGTAGAAGACCTGCCAGGTTGTTCAGCACACTCACTGTAAAAGCCTCGGGGGCAAGATTGCTCGTGGTTTCCAAAGGTTCGGGGATCCCATGTCGGGCCTTCAGAAGCTCGATTCGATGCTGGGCAGGTCTGGTGGTCGGCATTGCTGGTGCCAGAAAGCAAAAAGCCGTGGCAGCTAGGGGGCAGGATTGTGATGTAAGACAGGTCCCCTAGATTCGATCGAGATATGTCACTGTCGTAAACTCACCCCAAAACCGTGGCAGCTTTTCTGGCTAGATTGAGCCATGAACACAGGTTCGATCGAGATTACAAATCCAGTGAGACCAATCAGACTGCACATCGAACTCCAATGAAAGCAAGGAGGGTTCGCACCTCGAATTTCATGAACAAGCCCTGGGCGAGATGGCGGTACAAAGGAATCCCGGACTTGATAAAGTAGATTAAAGTAGTAGCTGAAGTGGCTCTAAGCACCGGGCTTTTCCTCAGGGCTTTCTTCATATGCGCTCTTGAGCCAGCTAAACAGCCAGCTAACAAATACGATGTTTACCTAGCTAAACATAGTAGTTGGCAAATACGAAGTTAAACTTCAACTTTGAAGTGTAGGGGGATGATTGTAATCCGCAGCGGTGTCCGCCACCAGAAAAGTGCTCAAATTTCCTGGATCTAGGATCACTTGAGGCCAGGGGGGGTGAACGAAAGCTTACCCACTGCGAAGCTTTCGAGCGACTCCAGCTAGCTGATGCTAGCTGACTCATGATTTGACCGACATGGTTCGACCGACGTTTGTGACTGCATGTCCTGTGCCCCATTGACGTCATTTCGACGGCCACCTCTGGAGGTCAATCCACGGGATGACGGATGCAGCACGGATCCACGGATGTCCTCAATCTCACCATCTGTCTCAGTATTATATTATTTGTATGACTGTATGACATACTTACAAATGTAACACACAATGTGACAGAAGATCATCAACAGGTCCGACTCTACAAAGGGAACGGGGAGCATACTCAAATCTGGAAACACCGGGAACCAGGAGATGTCCGAAAGGTGAGGTTGTATGCAGGGGTTGGCACACACCGATCCATGCACATCTACGTTTCTAGGATATTGTGTGAGCATGAGGGGGGGGAGGGTCGTGTCTGAAACCAAAAGCGGGAGGGACTGGTCAAATGTATGTGCACCACGGTTGCAAAGCTGCCACAGTCACGGCCACAACAATGACCAAACATTGTGGTGAGGACTACGAGGGCCTACGAGGGCTGGCTTTGGGGGGGCATTGGGGTTATTGGAGTCGTTTCTTTTTGCTCGAATGGCTCGAATGGCTCCCGGGGTCCCCGCGAAACATCTACGCAAGGGGGGGCAGGGTCCATCATGCGATCGTCAGCTTCTGGGGAGAACGCACGTGGTCCTGGTTTTACAGGGCTTTGGGAGTCTGACATACGGGCTGCCAGGAACCGGTGATATGAGTGATATGCTACATCACTAATCATCACTAGTCACTAGTATAAAACAAAGAATATGAACTTCTATAAACGGTTGAAGCACCAGGTCTGGTGTTGCAAAATATGCAGCAAAAGCACTTGGGACCTGGTCTGTTGAAACGAGCCTTCAATGACCTCCGATCTACGAGCTGTTGAGCACCAGGCTGTTGAGCCCGAGCGCGACACGAGAGCCCACTCTCGCCTGCTGCTGATCGAGCGGAGCATGTCCTTTCGATCGGAGGCGATCACACGGGGCTTCTCCAAGATGGGCAAACTCTGCGCCGCTGAGCCGATCGTCCTGGCCGAGAAGGGGGGGACTGGTCCGCCACTGGTCCAACAAACCTCGTAGCGTCCTCTTGCTCCTAGTAATGCCAGGAGCGCCCCTAATAGTTTCTTGCTCCGTTCGTAGCGATGCCCTTTGTTCTTAGTAGCGTCCTCTTGTTGGCCCAGGTCGCATGAAACGCTGCAGCTTTTGGTGGGGTAGTTGTGCCGCAGGTAGCTGGTGGGCTATGGCGTTCCCGCCCAAATACTTCCGCGCCAAAAGCGGTAAACATAAATGATTCTATTTGTGCATCATTTTTCCAGGTGACAAAAACTCTGCTCAATTGAAATCCATAGTCAAAACTGCAAAAAAATCAAACGAATCAAACATATTCTTTCTTTTCACCGCAGTGCCACCAAAGTCCCTCACAATTATGAATTGTTAATTGCAGAATGGTGCGATAAAAAAACAGTACAAATCGAACACGGGTCTGCACGAATTGTTTATTAAATTGTTTTAACCACGCACGCGAATTAACTGTTCTCTTGTGGAGCCACGAGCTTGTATACTACCTAGAAAGACAACTAATATATACATGCCTTGATAACATGTTGCCTTTGTCTTGTCACCCTCTTCAAACACTTGACTTGGGGAATCTTGGGGACCGACCCCCAGCTTGCCCACCCAATCACCAAACCTCAGGACCGTGCGGTAAAGACAGTCCATCGATGGAGCCGTTTGATGAATGTGGGCAGCCCTCCATGACGGGGTATTTCCTTCATCGATCGAAAAACTTGCCTTGGAGCAATCCCCATGAAAAAGGCCGTTCACATCGGTTGGTATCTGAGATCATCTGAGGTATCTGTTATTGTCTGTTGCTGTAAAAACCTGCATGTAAAAGCGCGCCATAGCGCGCCGTAATTTGCGGCGTCACCGGCAGCCGCCTGGCCTTCGGAAGAACCTCCCATCGGCCAAGCCCAAATGACTCTCTCGCTTTGCTGTGCTGCCAGCGCTCGCGGGTCGCACGTGCTCCCTGGCGTCGTGCTCTGGACATCCACGAAAGCCATGTCCAGGTGCTGAAGCGAACAGGGCCAATGCATTTCATGACCTTCAATATAGCCCCACTGGCGCAGATAAAGCCCCGGGGCTCAATTCATGGGATCTTTTTTGATGGAGGCCAAGTCAAGCCAAGTCATATAATATATATATATATATATTGTTGTACGACACACACATCCACACCTACTGGGACACCTTAATATACGCGCCTTCTATCGCCTCCCCCTCCCGTCCGACGTCGCCCCTAGGCCTGAGATTGGGAGTGGTCTGGCAGCGCCGCAGGGCGCTACGCGAGCCACTCACGGCGCTCTGGGGCCGCGGCGGCGGGACCCAGCGGAGAGTGCTCGGGCGCTGATCTGACACGTTCTGGTGCTCCCTGGCGGCCGGGGGGGCACTGATCACCACTGGGGGGAGGACTGATCCAGGGTGCCAAACATCAGTGTGGGGAGCAAGAGTGGGCAAACAAGGGACTAGGCCAAGTCCGAAGTTAGAAGCTGGCAAGAGCGTCGGTATTGAATATATATATAGGATTATATAGGCCTTTTTATTTTCGGAAATGATTATATATTCTTTCAGATTGCTGTCTTTTGTTTTAGTGTGTGTGTGTGTGTCAACACCTGTTCCAAACGAACTCAAAATGTACAGGCAGGGGGGCAGTGATCCTACTTTCTAACAGTCACCGCCTAACAAAGACGCTGTTGATCGGATGTGATATTTGGAGAGGATGCTCTGAACGTACCTGCGACTTCAAGCATGTTTGAAGTAAACCATGCTGGATAGGCTGACTCCTTCACCTTGCTGTTTGCACATGGCCGTTGACAGGTTCAGGTTTCAGCGCTTTTAGATCGGTATTGTAATCACTAGAGTGGATTGCCCCAACTGATATAGCTCTTGCGAGCCTTTATCTGAGCGTGTTTCGCCACGAGGGCTGTGGGGTGATCCCCGCCAAGGGGCGCGTTCTGCACAGACCCGTAAAAGGGGATCTTCCACTGCATCTTTGGTCCAGCATGACCATAACTGATCTGCCGCTTGCTCGAGAGTGCTGATCGATTGCTGCAGAGCTTTCTGACACCCCTTCAGAGAATGACATGCCACGCTGCTAAGTATTCATAGGCACTCGGCTAAGTATTAACCTTTCGGTTCTTCCACTCCTGCTGTTGCTCTTCCTTTTCTGTTTTTGTTGTTCTTGTTGGTTCGCTCTGGGGGGAGGCACTGCGCCCTCCCCCCAGACCCTCCAGCACTACTTTAACCACTTGCAGCGGCTGCCACCGAAATTGATGTGTTTCGTTTGTGTTTATCTAAATATCGATCATGCTGCACTGCACCAGCAATTTAAATCACATCTGCACTACATCTTCTCAAGCTGGTTCCTCTCATGGAGCTAGGCTGGCATCCAAAGCAAGCATGTCCCTTACAACTTCTTATAAAGCATCCAGCCATGATTTGTTGGCGGGGTTGATTAAGGATGCTGTGCCTGCCCTGAAGACAGGAACAAATGCCGAAGTAGAAGTGCACTCTCTACTTCTTCACTCAGGAACAAATTTAGTGGAGGAAAAAGCCACTATGAGCCACTCCAATGTAGCATACCTTTGGTGAGTCACCCTATAAGAGTAACATTTAGCAAAATTGAGCGGAGGAAGGAGCCATTCCAACGTAGCATACCTGTTATGGGCCCTGTCTAAGGGTAAAACTAGTCGAGCCCGTGGCTGAGCCGTTCCAGCACATTTGTTTTTCGAGCCAGTCGAGGGACCAACTTTTCAGAGCAGGCCCCAACTGACATTAGCTGTGGATGGGGCTCGGGTGTATAGAAGAAAGTGAAAGGGTTGTACACGACGGACATCCAAACTGCTGAGTTCCTGGCGAGCTGTGGAGCCCCAGGAGTCTGAAAAAGCCCCAGGAGTCTGAAAAAACAAATACAACATATTGAAACCACACCCAATATGTAGCACAACTATCCTCTGGAACGTGTTTTTCAAGTCTGCGGGATTTTCCAAGCTATCATGAGATTCTCGTCTATAAAGACTTGAAAGTGCAGTTTTTTACGCTTGACTGGACCTGTCACGGCGCCCGGCCTGCTCATATCGACCGGCAATCGTTGAGCTGGTCCTGTCGCCTGGCAGACTCTGGAGCGTCTCATCTGACAATGAGCGGACCAGCCATGGTGGTTTTGGGACGAAACCCGCGGAAGCCAACCCACGGAATCAAGGGTCGCCCGCGCCACGGGCTGTCGCCGGGCCTTGGTGTTGGATCCCGGACATCCATGCTGTGAGGACCACAGCTGTTGCTGCACCGTCTGGTTGAAGCCTGGGCTTTCGGAACATGTTTCTCTGTGTGTGTGGGGATGTATGAGAAAGAACCAACAATTAACATATTTGTTCAAGTGTTTTTGTTTGTTTTGTGGGGTGGGGATGGCGTTTGTGTCCGCCTACCTTCAGTGGTTGGATACTTTAGGGTACTGATGGGTACTGTATATGAGGGTGTTTGGTTTCCAGTTCGATGTGGCTCCTCTTAGCTGTGATCCTTCAGTGTGCAAGCCCTCTCTATGACCAAAACGGTTTCCCCAAAGTGCCTGAAATGGCAAGAACACCATGCACGTTCAGGACCCTTTTTCAGGCACCCCCATTGTGACCTTTGAGATGTTGCGGAAAAAGTCGTTACTGCCAAGATCAAAGATCTGATCTGTCTTCATGATGTTTTTTATATGTCTTTGGATGTGTTTGGCAAAAGGGTTGACTTGGAACTTAGGCTTAGAACTTAGAATGCTCTCTGCAAAAGGACTCCCAAGCACGGCCACTGCCAACTGCACCGAGATTCGAGATAAGGTGTGGTAGGCTTGTAGGCCTGCGCCGCTGTCGCCAAACGATGCCAAATCTCGTTCAGCATTCGAGGCAATTTGAGACTTGAAGAGTCAAGTGCAGCATCTGTTGCCGTCAGAAAAATGTCTGGAAACACATCATGTCACTACGTGATCAGCGGAAACATCACTAACACAATCCAATACACAGGGAGCTGTGGCTCAACCATCGGCATCTCTGGATTTCTGGTAGGCTTGAGGGAACTTGCCCAATTTGCATGTGAGCCAATGCCCTGTCCTAAATCCTCTCCGGTGCCGCCTTCTTCTGGCAACTCATCAAAGGCTTCCTTCTCTTCCGGCCGGTGATCCCGCGCCCGGTCGTGGAACATGCCTCAAAGGCCGCGGTGCGGAGCATGGGTCCTTGTGGAACACGCACTCAAGACGGAGGACTATACACGTCCCTAAGCACGTCCTCAAAAGTTTTTTGGACCCTTCAAACCCATCCCAAACAAGTTCTCAGAAGGTACTTGGAGCCGTAGAGCTCAGTACAACTTATGTGGCATGGAAGTTAAACACCGTCGAGATAGGAGTTGTTGAGGGTGTCACGCTGACCTAACGACTGCCCCAGCCCCATGGCGTTTGACACAACGACCCAGGTCTACCCCACTCAGGTTCACAGCCTTGCAACCTTTTCCCACCGTTCATTATTCCTATATACAAATATATACACTGTAATTAAAACAATCTCGAAGGTGCTTTTGCACAGGTGAAGAGCTGCCCATCATTGGTGCAGTATCAACTTTCTTTTCTCACCACGAGGCACCTCAACCCCGGTCTTCCCACTCCGTCGCTCCCCCCTCCGGCGGGTCACTCCAGAAGCTCTCGTTGCGCCAGCGCCGGTCGGCCATCCGGGTCAAGACCAAGTCCTGATCACCTCGATAGCCGAATTCCAGCAACCTCACCTGAGCGAAATCGGGAGTCATGGAGGAGTCCTGCAAACCTTTTCTAAGCAATGTAATCAGCCTCATGAAGACCCCCCCCAGTATCCAAAGGTTCGTATACCATCTAATGTATAGCAAAATGTAGTAAACTAACTATAGTTGAACCAGTGTCATCTTGCATCAGCGGAAGCCTATGAAACCAATATATATATATATATATAAGAATCAAAAGCACATCATAGGACGCACACACACCCGTGCCTGGAACCCAGTTTCTCAAATCAATCAATCCTCATATTGGCATGTTTGAGAGAAACAACAGCTCTCACTGGGTATCCAGTCCCCAGTCACTAGGTCTTGCTACAAAAATAGCATTGAAAAGGGGTCTGTCCAATCATCTTCAAAAAATGCTGCGAGGTGAGTGTGGAATTTCAAAGGGGATACACGACTGTTTGCAAATCCCCGAAAGGGAGACCCTTTTCCGAATACCAAGCAGGGAGTGGAGCTCCACTTCCATGTTCTTTTCCAGGGAGACTAACAAATGATTCCCACATGGCACCTCCCGCGAAACGCAGGCCTGTAGAAAACCGTCTGAGACGAGCCGTGTTGGGAAGGTGGCAAGGTATGTATGCATGACTTCATGACTAGGTTTGTAGCCGAGCTCAAACGATACAGAACACCTTAAATCGGAGGCTGCGGGATGAGCATGTTTCAATGTCAGAAGGACGACTGATGAGTTTGATGGACACATGAAAAGCAATGCAAACGTTGCTGCCTCCCTAATGTTGTCTTTTTGTGGGTAGGTCAGTTTTCCCTTCACCACCTTTTCGACTCAACGAATCCAATCAACTTTGAGTCAACGATTTCACGTACACGTTCGAACGTCCTGAATCGGAATCGCTCTCCCCGCCTCGACCTGGGTGATTTCATCAAATTCATGTCATATCCTTCTTAGTTGAAACAGTATAATGTAGACTCTTGAGGACCATAAGCCATCCCATTTGGGGTATTATTCATCAAGAGTCTACATGTATGGTGACAAATTGATGTTCTTTTTTGTCACTGGAGTCGTCGAGACCGAGAGCACGGCTCGAGAGACCGTGCTCGAGAAATCCTTGGGTTTCTCTCATGGTTGGCTCCTCCAATTCACCCGTTCGTTCGAATCAGCGTTGCTTGGGGATCGATCCTCCAAACTGGCGATGGTCCGGCCTCTTCCAAGTACCGACGGGGTGACCCCTTGTCCATGGAGTACATCTATTTCGGCTGGACCGGGCCGGGGAAGCAAGATGGAGCAAAAACACCAACTGCCACCATAGAATTACTATCTAAAAACACATCCATCCGACTGGCACATGTTGATCTTGCTCTGAGGTGCTCTGAGGAGTGACTTTGTATGACAACTGGGCCAATATTCCTCATCGGTATAATATGTGGGATTGGGAAGCCCTGAATACAACGCAATGCTGTTGTCGCTGGACACAGCCATGCCGGGCCTCGTTCTCCGGCTCCATTCAAGCTCTGCAGGAAAAAACTTGTCCAAAAAAGACTTGCTGAATGTGCTGCATCGGTTCACATTCAACTCCCAATTCCAAACTGAAGCTCGAATGGTCCTGGGCAGCAGGGCGGGACTCCCAAACACATCCGCCGCTTCAGGCGGCAACAATCATCTGCTGATCATGACATGAAGGAAACAAAGTCATGACAAGACTCAACAATGCAGGACACAGCAAGGCCAGGTTTAAGTTCATGCCGTTCTCGCTATTCGGAATAAACTCTCCGGTGGAAGGTTGGAGATCGACATGTGCTTGTCACTTAGGCGACCGCCCAAGCGTACGCTTCATCGTGAGGATGTTCTGCGCCTGCATTCATGCCAACATAAAAAAGAACCTAGAGCGATAACTAGATGAACAAACTTGAGGCCAGGGGGAGAGGTCGAAAGCTAGCCGAATCGCACCGGATGTACTAGTTACATAGTCGGCAAAGCATGTAGGGATTACATGTTTTGGGAGGAAGGTTGCTATGTACATACTTTGCGCTAAAGAATGTAAATGTGACATCGCTGACTGGGAAGGGTACATTGGAACAACCCGGGTGCACTCGTTGGCAGGCACGAAGATGCGTGATCGGCAAATCTGGGGGGTAGATTTACCCTCCGCTTTTGTATGCCTTGAGCCGGAAAGAGGGGTAAGCATTTCTGACATCATACGGACTGTACATACACTAGGGCGTCCGTAGTGTAGGAGAAGCACGGGTAAAAGGTATATGGAATAGAGGGTCTTGAGGAAATAGCCGGTGTATGGTTATTGCAAATCTGGGGGGTAAATTTACCCCCCGCTTATGTATGCCGTGTGCTGGAAAGAGGGGTAGGCATTTCTGGCATCACAAGGACTGTGCATACACTAGGGCGTCCGTAGTGTAGGATAAGCACTGGTAAAAGGTAT